TAAAGCACGAATGAGTTACGATCAACAAAGGACATAAACGGCAATAAGAGGGTCTATACATTCCATAGAAGGAAAGGAAAGTCAAAGGACAGTGAAGGCCCTTTACTTAACGGGGAAGGAGAGCACAGAACAGATGACATGGACACCGCTAAATTATTTAATGCCCTTTCTGCTTTCCACATCTACTAGGTAAAGGCCCTGTAAGCCCCCAGCTCGCATCGTTCAGGGGAGGGGGTTCGGGGAAGGGGACAGAGCAGGGGTGAGGCTTGGAGGAAAGGGAGGAACAGGGTGGGGGCTGGGCCCATGGTGGAGGGGGGATTGCCCTGGCCCCCACTAGGGACAGCCCTACGGACAGAGACAGGCACGTTTGTAGACACCCCCCGCCCCCTCAGAGGCCTAGGCGCCACTGGCCAGGTTGGGAAGCTCTGTCTGAAGCCAGGCTGCCTTTGCAAGCTGCTGACGTCACAAAGGTGTCAACTGGCAACCGGCGCCGCCTGAAGATGTTCCCATTTGCAAGCAGCTCTTCTTTGCTTTCCAGCCCCGAAAGCGAGCGAGCTCTGGCACAGCAGCCAAGTGGGCGCTCTGCCAGGGCGCTGCCTGAGCGAGGACACAGAGCGCTTCCAAACAGCCTCGCAGCTCCACTCCTCTTCCACTTTATTGCAATGAGACAACTGCTCGGCCGCCCGGCGGGGCCTCTGCCCCTGCGCCCTCGGACGGGCTGAGAGCGCCGAGGAGCTACAGTCAATGAGGGGCCGGGTCATGTCCCCTCCTCATGGCCCCGACCCCCTGTGGCTGGTGCTTCTTTCTGCAGTGGGAGCGATGGCCCAGAGCCCGAACTGCCCAGCAAAGTGCACCTGTCAGTACCTGGGCGTGAACTGCACGGGGCAGCAGCTGCAAGAGTTCCCCACAGCCATTCCTCTGGACACGAGGCAGCTGATTCTGGCGACCAACAACATCTCCTACCTGCCGTCGGTGGAGCTGAACTTCCTAAGTGACTTGGTCTATCTAGACTGCAGGGAGAACGCCATTAGCGAAGACCTGGATTTCGCCTTCATCAGCCTCAACAAGCTCGTCTACCTGGACCTCAGCTTCAACAACCTCACCCGGGTCACCTGGAGCACTTTCTCCCAGCTGAGTAACCTGGTGGTGCTGAAGCTCTCGGACAACCCCAATCTGGCGGAGATCGAGAAGGACTCCTTTTCCAACAACACCGGGCTGAGGCACCTGGACGTGAGCCGGACCGGCTTGACGTTCCTGGATACTAGCACTGTCAAGGAGTTGCCCAATCTCAAGTCCCTGGGTCTCAGTGAAAACCCCTGGAACTGTAACTGCTCCTTCCTGGACTTCGCCCTCTGGATGAAAGAGAATGGTGTTCGCTTCCCAGGTGAGGACTTTGGGGCCAGCCCAGGCACCCTAAGAGTTGGCTGGAACAAAGCAGACGGCCCTGCTTTCTGTATCCCAATCTCGCTGTTATCCTTGCACATTCTGGGCCAGATTCTCAGTTGGGGTAAAGTAGCATAGGTCCACTGACGTCAAGTTACCTGTGCCAATTTACCCGAGTCGTGGATCGGGCCCTTAACAACACACACACTGTCAAACACGTACCAGGGCATCCATGCATGCCCAGCTTGCAGACTCACAGACCAGAAGGGACCACCATGCTCGACTAGTCTGCCCTCCTGCACGTCACAGGCCACACGGTTTCGCCCACCCTCTTCTGTAATAGACTCCGAGCCTCTAGCTGAATTCCTGTCTTACGTTACAGAGAAACCACCATTTGCACTAGCTTAAACCAGCAAGTGACCCCTGCCCCATGCTGCAGAGGAAGCCAAAAAAAAAACCAATCTGACCTGGGGAAAATTCCTCCTCAACCCCCAAAACAGAGACCACTTAGATCCTGAGCATACGGGCAAGCGCCACCAGCCAGCCAGCAGAGAAAGAATTCTCTCAGTAACTCCGAGCCCTCCCCAGAGAGTGTCCTACCCCGGACCGTTGGGGTTGGAGAGTTGCAGCTGGGCCAGATGCTGCGGTAGGCAGCAACAGCATACCAACCCCTCTCTAACCTTATCCAGCTCAGTCGTGAAGCCAGGTAGGGGCTTGCCTCCACGGCTCCCCTTGGAAAGCTGTTCCAGAACTTCACTCCCCTGATAGAAACTTTCTAAGCCTAACCTTGTTGATGGCCAGTGTGTATCCTTTTGTTCCTGTGCCAGCACCGGCCTTTGGCTTCAGTAACTGCTCTCCCTTGTATTTATCCAGCTATATACTCCTAGCGAGCAATCCTCCGCAGCATACAAACAACCCTGCACGCACACACACAGACACACTCCAACCACCACAACATTCTAAGTGAACAACCAAGAACCGGCTTTGAGGTAAGAAACGGGCCTTTCAAACCCTGCTAGTGCCACTGTGGTCTGTCATCACTGCACAGCGCCACGCAGGCCCAACCACAAGGGAGGGGAAAAGGGGCCACCCAGAGGCCTGGTTGATCTAAAAGGGCCTGGGGACCCCGACTGCTACCGTGGTGGCAGTAGCAGCCGCCGGGAACTCCGCCAGGCACTTTTAAATCCCTTCCGCTCCTTTCACCTGCACCGTCCCACTTCCCTCAACCAGAGCCACTGGGCAGGGCTAGGGAAGAGAGGGGAGGCGCCGCTGCGGCTGGCACAGGGATCCTCCGGGCAGGTGGGGGATCCTTCTGCCCGGCCGGAGGAGGCGGGCACTCGGAGTTTCTCTAGCCAAGGGGGCTTGTGGCTGCAGCCAAAAGAGGGGGGCAGGGCGCCCATGGATCGTTCTGTCCTGGTGGCAATCCCGGAATTGCCGTCAGCAGGCCAGGGGCCAGGTCTCTGTCCTGCAGGCAGTTCTGGGGCAAGCCGCTCCCCTGAACCCATGTCTGAGCCCCACCCTGTCTGACAGTGTTTTGCTAGGGACGTTAATGTTCTGTGTTTTTAACAGTCGAGTGAAATAACCCGCTGACGTGAAAACGCAAGAGGTACCTGGCATTCCAGCCCTGGGGCCTCCCACCTCGCTTCGGGCCTGCTGTGCCCTGCTTTTCCAACCCCAGGCTCCCCACAGTTCTGCCAATGCATCCCCAGCCTAACCTGGAACCCCCTGCAGTTCCATCCCCAGGTGCCTCTCCTTGAATCTTTGGGCCAGCAACGTGGTCATTTTGCTCTGTGCACACATAAAGATGGAACTGAGTCTGCTCCTGTTCCCTCGGGACTCCACCTGGGACAGGTCACCTGGCCCTACTGAAGTCAGTGGGAGTTTTGCCATCGATTTCAATGATGCCAGGACGTCATTCTACTTTCAAAGCCTGGTCATATTTCTGTCACATGAGCAGTCCAGGCAGTGCGTGGCCTTTTTCCTTAAGGTTAAGTGCTGTTCTGTGCATGTTCTGTTCTCCATTTCACACCAGCTATCACAGCACTTTCATCTTCTGCCCTGAATGCAGATACATTTTGCACGGCACTCACTATTAAGGGCCCGAGCCACAGCCCACGCTGTACTTAGTGGGAACATTAAGTGTGAGCGTACTCTGGACCGTATCTCTTGTGGGGCTCCCGTCTGTTCTCTCTTGTTCTCAAGGATGCCGGCGCAAACTGACTCAATTACAGCATGAAGTCCTGGATCAGGAAAGTCCATGAGCACATGCTTACAGCGGTGATACTGAAGCACACGCTTAAGAGCGTTGTGAATAGTGGTGCTTTCCTAAGTTGGAGCTAGGGTTGCCAGGTGTCCAGTATTGAACCGAAATGTCCGGTATTTTCACCTCCTGTCCGGTAAAAAAAATTCAGAAAATACCAGACATCTAAACTGTCCGGTACTTTCTGATTTTTTCCTGGCCAGGAGGTGAAAATCCCAGGCTGTCCAGCTCAATATGGAGGCAACTTGGCAACACTAGTGTTTACCGGGTTCCGCAGGGGAGCTGTCTGGCCTGGCGCAGGCTGGTAAGATGGCAGGCAGACACCGGACGCCTGTTAGGGCCAAAAAGCCTCACCGTGCTTTTTTTTTTTTTTTGCTCAACGAACGTTTCCTGGTGTGTTTTTTGTTGTTGTTGTTGTTGTGTATTTTTTCCTGAAACCATCTGCCAACCCTAGTTGGAGCCTGAAAGATGATTTTTTTCTTAAGTCACCTGAAACACCTAGATCAAGCTGGTTTCCTTCTGCCTAAGTAAGAAGTTTGATCTGGATTATCTGGATTGTAGCTGTTGCTTACGCACAAGGTAGGAGGGTCTCCATTTCATTTTCTCAGAGCTGTTTTGGTCCCAAGAGTAAGAGGGGGTTTGGGAATCACAGATCTGTAGGCTGGCTTTTCCCCCAACTCCAAACAAAGACAAGCCCTAGTCTTTAAAAATTACACACAGCACAGTGCTGAGAGGGGATTCTGCAACTCGTCCTTGTTTAAGGATTGGCTGGGCAAGTAAACCCTCAGTAAAAGCAAAGACAGGAAGACTGGAGGCTGGTGGTACTCAGTGCTGCAGGGTTAAGGTTAATTGAGCATTTGCCTTTAGGGCAGGAAGCTCTTTTGTTGGCCTGTAAGTGCTATCCAGGCATATGGAGAACTAGTCATAGCGATAACATTGTAGATGGAAGAAACTGTAAGAAACCATATGCATTATTATAGGCACCGATACAAAAGAGTGCATCCCTCTCAAAGCCCCATGCAACAGCTGCAGGAAGCTAAGGGCTTTGGTTTAATATGTGTGTTTCTCTTGCACTAGGAGAGAGGTTACTCTCCATATTCACATCACAGATTTCATAGCCTGTGCTGGAGATGTTCACAGGTGGGGCGGAGGGAGGAGAAGCAGCAGCTTCTGCTAGGACTGAGGGGGAGGAGAGGGATTCTCCTTAGTAGCACCAGAGCTGCTGCTTATGGGTGTGAGGGCGGTGGGTGAATAGTTGATGCAGAGGGCAGAAGGCCTCCATAGCAGCTCTCATTCTCTTCCCTGTCAGGCTTTGCTACCTTCCAGCAACACTTGGTGTGTGTAACAAGCCGGAGGTTTTGTATTTCCTGGGACTAGTGTGAGAAGTGCAGTTAAACTTTAATGCTGTTGGTAACATATCCAGGCCGAGTGCCTTGGAGCAAGAGCACCTCTCTTTCCAGCGGGGTGGGAAATAAGAAGCTCCCTACTCATGTGAGCCTCGGCCAGAGATACAGGCGAGATGGCCTGGATAAGACGGATGTTCCATGCATCCAAACCCATCCCAGCACAGGGGGACTCCAGGGCAGCTGCAGTTGATGGGCAACTAAAAGCAATGCCCCGTGCAGGCCTTTTAAAAGCTACTGATGCCTCAGGAAAAAACAAACAGAGCACCAACGTTTTATGCAGAGCTGCATTTGGCTCCACATGCAGAACTAAAGTTTGGGGGCGTTCTGGTTCATCCTGGATGTTGTTCAGTTAAGAGATAAAAGCACACTGATTGTACCCTCCCCGGCATCCCTTATTACCAGGGACATGTGCATGAAGACAAGTCATTTTTCTGCCTTGCCTCTGGACACCTATTTACTATTGCTCAAGTGAGTGTTTCTTCTGTGTTTCCTCTACAGATCCGAAGAACATCTCCTGCTACAGTCCAGCCGCTCTTCGTGGTTGGCCACTGCCTGAGGTGGAGTCGAAGCTCCACTACACATGTCTCCTCCATTTACAGGAGACAGACTATGCCTTCCTGGGGCTGATTGGCTTCTGCATATTCTCTGCAGGCACCGTGGCAGCCTGGCTGGCTGGGATATGCGTAGTGCTCTATGAATTCCACACTACAAAGGGGGAGGATGACGAGGAAGAGGAATATGAAGAAGCAATCACCTAGAACTGGCCTGATACTAGTTGTACCTTTCTCTTGGTCTCCTGGCCTTTCCCCATCTACCTCCCTTTCCAGATGTGATTCTTTTGACCCAAAGCACGATTACTGGAATACAAAATCCTTTTGCTGTAGTTTAACCCACTGTTGGGAATTTCTTACTTCCTTCTTCTGTACCCCTAAGTTTCTCTCTCTCTCTGGGCTTGGGCCATTGAAACATTAATTGATGCCTGCCAAAAGTATGGTAAGTACCCATCTATCAACCAGCCAGATAATTACTACTTGTTATTTATGGAGTGCCCCAACATAGCTAAGAACCTTACTGAATATGTAGAAAGCCAGGACCAAAGACAGTCCGAAATAGGGGCCTAAAATCAGGCTCCTCAGTTTATATTTAGGCTCTTGGACTATATGTTCCGATTTTAAAAAATGCCTAGCACTCAGCAGCACCAACAGAAATCACTGGGGGAGTTAAATGCTTTTGAAAATCGGGTTGTTTATTTTCAAGCCTAAATAGGGACACAGAAACCTCACTGTGGGCTCCTATTCTTGAAAATTTCGGCCCCTGTCCCAGAGACCTTGCACTCTAAGTACAATTTGTAAAAGGTACACAAATTAGTCCCCAAAAGATGCTGGAGATGAAGCAGCCAAATGTTACAGAAAGAGCACTACAGAGTGACCTCTGCTGATGTGTATGTTTATCATGTCCTTACTGTTGCAGCCAGGAACAGATAATTACCTGCCGAGACCAGCTCAGCATAGCTCTGAGTGGCTGAAACCAATAGCAGAATCTTACTTGAAAGATGAACGCAGATTGGTTTGGATATGATATTCACTTCAGACCACTGGATGGACAATAAACATGTTAATGATAAACGGCAATGAATCAAGTTTGCAGGAGATGTCTAGTGGGATGCTGTTTGGCCTGGACTTTCTTAACATCTTTGTTAGGGTGCGTCTACACAGCAGGGCTTAACTCGAAATAAGCTACGCAAATGGAGCTACGTCAATTACATAGCTTATTTTGAAATAGCTTATTTCAAAATAAGGAGCGTCTACACAGCACTTATTTCGAAATAGAGCGCTCTTCCTCCGACTTCCTTTACTCCTCGTACAGTGAGGGTTACAGGAGTCGGAGTAAGAAGTCCTCAAGCTTGACAGTATTTTGACATTATTTCGAAATAATGTTGTTGTGTAGACGTACCCTTAGAGCAGGGCTACTCAACACGCAGCCTGTGGGCTGCATACGTCTCATGGCCTGCTTGTTTGTGGCTCGTAGTGTGGTTTGGGTTTACATGCGGCTCAACACGTGGACCACAGGTGAGAGCCAAAACAAAAAAGTAGTCAATATAATTGTTGTCTGTTGATATGCATTTTAGTATTTAAATTCCTGGACTGTCAGTGCTCATTAACAGTGCTGTCATACGCATGGAAATTGGGTAAACACTGCATTTTATTAATATCAGCAGAACCAACTTAAATGGGGCCTATGTGTTGTGTAGTCTTGCTTTAATCTTTTGTATTCATGCCTGTCAGTGTGAAATGAGCTATTTGCATATATTTGCATATATATTTGCATGTCTATGCAACCATACTTAAGTTGCAGCCCTCCGCATGTGCTGTGAGTATCATTGTGACCCCTGGGCTTCCAAAGTTGAGTAGCCCTGCCTTAGAGACTAACTTGGGAAAAGCTGAAAATATCAGCAAAGACAGAGCTAACTCAAAGAGACCAAGAATGAAGAAAATGCAGGCAGAAAATAAGAAGACCAGCATGTAGTCTAGACACACCCCAACATATGTGGCGTGGTATTACTCTGTGTGTTGCAGTAGCACTTCTTAGAGTGTGTTTTGTGCACATATATAATTACGAACAGGCCCCATCTTTTACAGCTGAAAGGGATAGAGTGTGAATCCCTCACCCACACTGCAGTGCGGTTACTCAAATAAGTATTGCCACTCACTTCAGGGGGGCTACTTGTGTAATTGGTCACCAGTATGAATAATAGGTTCACAATCTATCCCAAACTGATCTGAAACATATTCAAGAGGCAGGAGAAACCTAGGAAACAGAAATGATGCTAGGAGATAACGAATTAGACCTAAGTTTGCATTGAGAGGGGCTTCTTTAGTTTAAAAAGATTCTTAATTGACTTAAGCTAAACTGAAATAAGCCTTGTTTAGCCCCAAGTCAGTGCCTGCACAGACTTTTACATGGGTTTAACTAAACTAGTTTAACATCACATCTTACATTAAACCAATGCAGCTTTCTCATGTAAACGAGACCTAAGAGCCATATCAGTGTGATAGTCCTCTCTTTCAGATAAACGTTACTTACAACTCAGAAGTGCCTTACTTAATTGTGAAAATTCTTGTAGACTTCACGGGGCCAGATAAATACCATTTGGAAAACCAACCTTTTGCAGGCATCTCCTCAGCTATTGCAGACAAAGACTCTGATCCAGCAAGGATTTCAAGCATTCCAGCAAAGTAAAATTTCTGATTAGCTTAAGGCTAGCATTCAAGTAGCTCTAAGTCAATGAAGCAAAATGCAGGACAATGTAGCACTTTAAAGACTAACAAGATGGTTTATTAGATGATGAGCTTTCGTGGGCCAGACCCACTTCCTCAGATCAAAAACTTAAAAAAAAAGTTATTTATTAGTTCCCATAATTGTCCTTTTCATATGTGTTCTTTTTTTTAATTGTATCCTTTGGTATATATGGTTGTGACTATTTTCTTCAACTTTTTGATCTGAGGAAGTGGGTCTGGCCCACGAAAGCTCATCATCTAATAAACCATCTTGTTAGTCTTTAAAGTGCTACATAGTCCTGCATTTTGCTTCAGCTACCCCAGACTAACACGGCTACATTTCTATTACTACTCTAAGTCAATATTACAGTTAAGCACATGCTGCAGTGTTTTCCTGGATCAGTGCTTGAAGGAAGGCTTGAATCCCCTCTCTGCCTAAGCCTGCCCACCTGAACACCCCCTTCTTCATATTAGGTAAAGGGTGAGGTGAGGAGCAGCTAGTGTAGAAGGCAGAAGAGGTTTCTCTCCAGAGAGCGTTCCCCTGTTTTCCACTGCTTGTGGACTTAGAGGATGGGAGAATCCAGCTCCAAAATTCCAAATATCTTATCAGATGACAGTGAAGTTGGAATTTTTTCATATTGTACGGGAGTGTTCAAAACTACCAGTTACATGTGACAGAATCCTCAGAAATGACAGGCATTGAGACACAAATCACCTCCGAGTTATGTATACAGAATATAAAAGATGAAAAATGTACAGATCCTTAGTATCACAAGTGCTGTTGATTGCCAAAAGAAGAATCATCTTACACTGAACAAGGAAAGCAACTCCACATACGAAACTCTGGCCTCCTGAGCTGATCCAAAGCTGCACCTGTTGAGGAAAAAGGACAAGCATTAGAAAATGTCAACAATCCTGGTCAAAATTCACACACTGTCTCATTACAAATTATACTACGACCTGTACATAAGACTGTAAAACCGACTCATGAGCCTGGAAATAACACTTGATGATCTTAAATCTAATCTCATACACAAGAGGATATACCCCAAAGTGCTAAGAAAGTATATTTTATTGATAAAATATTTTATTGATAAAATATATATACTGAAATACAATGGTTCTCAAACTGTGCTTCGGGATCAATGTTCGCTCTACTCTTTTCCATCTGTGTGCGGACTTTTTTCCATCCATGTGCGGAATAATTTTTTCTGCGTGAATCCCTGCTGTAACAGAATGAGCTGCTTCAATGAGGCCATAAACTCTTATTCATACTGAATAATCACAGCATGAGTACTCACAATGACTTCAATGGAATGACTTGTGGAGTAACATACGACTCAACGTGAGTAATGGTAATAATCTGGCCCATGAGGTTAAACAGAAAATAATCAGATAGTCTTGGCTACTGTTCAACTAATTGATGTCTCATATCTTAAAAATGAAAAGCGAGATTTAAACATGCATCAATGACAAAGACGACACACTAGGACTCATATACTCATTCAGAGACCATATGTCAAAGTGCTCATTCTACACTGTGAAAGAAACTCAGATCAAACTGGTTCAAAGGATACCTGAAAAATGATACTTCCTATAAATGTTGAGGAAAATATAACAGGTCTGGGTTTCAATTTTCAAAAATGACTAGTGATTTTAGGTACCGTAGTTTTTGGGTGCCCAACCTGAGTCACCTTAAAAGGGCGTGGTTTTCAGAACGGAATAAGCACCTGCCTTTTGAACATCACGCCAGTTCAAGGTATCTCAAGTTGGGGATGGGCACTCACAAATGGAGAAATTGGAAGTCACTAGTTCCTTTAGCAACTGGTGATGGTTTTGCACTGTCATATTAGATTTCTGCATAAAGGTCAAAGACATTCTAAATGGCGTCAAAGGACTCCACATTCCATTTCATCTTCCACCTTAAGACTCAAATATTCCTTTGATGAGCTTTTATCAAAAACTTGGTAATCATCCTATTATGGTGAAAAAAACCCACCTGCTATTGATTGATACATTCTTACCATGGTCAAATTAATTATTAGCTTTACAGACAACTACAAGGACTCTATGGGTGCTCTATTCAAGCACCGTAACTCGAAATATGATATGCAAATTGCATATCTTATTTCGATGCTATTTCGAAATAGTTTATTTAGTCATTTGGCACTGTCTACACAGTGCCAAATTTCAAAATAAAGCGCTATTCCAAAACACCCCTTACTCCTTGTGGAATGAGATTTACAAGGATGTTGGAATAGCGAGCCCAAAATAACAGGCTTGCTGTTAAGATAGGGGATAGCTATTTCGGCATACTCTGGTATCCCGAAATAGCACTGCAGTGTAGATGTAGCCTATAAGTGCAGGACCTCTGAGTATGAAGGAAAGATGACGGATGCAGAACAAGAAGCAATGGTCTCAAGTTACAGTGGGGGAGGTCTAGGTTGGAAATTAGGAAAAACTATTTCACTGGGAGGGTGGTGAAGCACTGGAATGGGTTTCCTGGGGAGGGGGTGGAACCTCCATCCCTAGAGGTTTTTAAGTCTCAGCTTGACAAAGCCCTGGATGGATTGATTTAGTTGGGATTGGTCCTGCATTGGGCAGGAGGCTGGACTTGATTACCTCCTGAAATCTTTTCCAGCTCTATGATTCTATGATTCTATGTTTCCCAGTGCAGGAAGTTTTGGTTATGGACAATATTTTCAAAAGCTTGCAAAATATACATCACACCTTCATTGATTGAATTGTAATGTTTCCTGTTCTTAAAGGCTGCAGTGTTTCACTTGGGAGCACTCCAAGAAGTATGACAGCTATGTACCCATTCCCAACATCTCTAGAAAGTGGACTTTTTGCTAACATTCCCCCATGATTGCTCTCCCTGGGGAGGGTGATGTAATCAGACTGTGGCATTTCGGAAGTCCTCAAGGCAGGCAGAGGAAGCCAACTTAGACTTATGGTCACCTCTGTGAGGGGGAAGATTGCACATATTGACCTTTTAGGTCAGAATGGTGGCAGAAACCCAGGAATGTAACTGAAGAAATCTGCCGTGTGACATCTGGACATAGCTTTTTGTGGCTTTCAGCCCAGGAATATGTAATGGCTCAAAGCAGGAAATCCCCAACCCATTAAAACGCTGTAAATGGTTGTTCCATCACTGCATACCTGCTTTTCAGCATTTGAGCTCTGATTTCCCAGCTACAATTACTACTCCATAGCTCAGATCAGCACTTAGTACCCTAC